AACACCCCCTACCCTACCCCTGAACTGTCTCTTGTCAGAAACTCAGACCCACTGTAGGTCTTGCCCTTCCCTCCCAGGTCTCTGTCCGCTAACACTGGGTTGGAAGTTAAGAGCAGACCCCCCTCAGGCTCTTCGGGATACAGGCAGCTCTCCCAGGTATTGGCTGCATAAGAGGAAGGAAAGTATGACCAGCTCTCCCGCTTACAGCTTCTCGTTGTTCTCATCTGTGAAGTAGACAAGACGGGCCATGTGGAAGAAGAATTCGGCTAAATACTGCAACAGCAAGAGGATCAGCCCCAAGCGTGTTAGGCTAGAAAGGAAAGAAGAAAAAAAAGAATTACTGGGCTGGTAACCCCTAGTTCTTCATATCCAGTAATATCAACCGCCTTGCAGTTCCTTAACTGCAGCAAGTGCCAACCAAAATCCAGACCTCTTTGCACCAGGGACTATAGGATCTCCTAAAACAATGAAGTGATAAAGTGGCCGAAAGCAGCAGCAGAGGCTGGAAGAGACCAGCCCAACACAAACTTCGAGCCCCTGGCAATGCTACTCTGTACAGACCAGAGGAGAGCTAAGAGCCTGTCTGCACATACCCTGCAGGGAACGCACGCTACGTGTGACAGCTTCCTGCGACAAAGGGAAAGTTCACTCTTTAGTCTCCACTAAGGATATCCAGATTAACAGTTGCTTTCCAAGCACTGTAAACTTCAAAATTATCTGGGTCCATGAAAACAGCTCAACCTTATCATCCTGCAGCAGGGAGTTCTCCAAGTTAACTACAATCCATTTTGTAGACGGTCTCCTTCTTCTATTTACTCCCACTGGCCGAAGCTTTTAGAGCGACCTGTGCGGAGCCCAGTCCTGCAAAAGGACCCGCTCAGCACACGCCACAGAGCCAAAGGAAGCCAAAGTGGCCAACTCACTTGAGCAGATACGCGCCGGCTACGTGCACCAGGTAGAGAGCAATGTACTGCAGCTGGCGAGGGATCTCCTCCTGGCAGGGCAGAAAGAGGCTGCATTAACCCCCTCCACGAAGCTTTGCCCCCAAATCCCAAAGCTCGTCGCTGTCTCCAGCGATGGTCCCCATGGTCCCACACCGGCCCAGCTGCCTTGGGGGATGATTTCAGCGCCCACTTGGCTCTCACCTTGCGGACCTTCTGGAAGTAGAGCTCCGGCAACGCGTGCAGCCAGTACGCCAGCTGGCACAGGTAGAAAAACTTCACCTGGAACCTGAAATGCAGGGACGAGCTGCATGAGAGCGGGCAGGACACGGAGAGATCACGGGGCTCCCCAGCTTCAGGAACCTGGAAGGCTTCTGCCTGCGGTGGAGCCCACCACAGAGCACCAGGCAACCTCTCAGCCTATTTGAAGCCACTAGATTTAGCATAAATCATTACTAGACAGAAATTACGTGTTTAACTGAGCTAGTCACACCCGGATTTTGTCCGACTGCTCGTGTTGTAGTCTCCAACCCTCAGCAAACTTAATGCTTACTCTTGCAAAATGCCAAGAGCAGCAGATTAAACCCTCATCTTTGTTGCTACTGTGAAAAACGAAGATCAAATAAAGCGTCTTGCCCCATGCGATGTAAGGAATAAGCGGCTGGGATGAGTCACGGAGCCTGGAGGCACCTCAGACAAACCTGCCTCCAGGAACACCCTCCCCGGGGCTGCAAATAGGATAACCACCATCCGCCCCAGCTAAAAAGCAGCATCTCCCTGGGGCATCCTTGCAGGAGGATGCGTGCAGCGGGTGCTGGTTGTCAGCACCCCGCTCCTGGCCACTGGGAAAACCGCGAAGAGGAAGGAAGCGGTCAGTGCTTACGGAAGATAAACATGAGGGTAGCTTTCCCACAGACTCCGGGGGTTTGACACGTATCCTTCCTGAAAGAGAAGAGATGCCGACTTTGAGCACAAGAAATGGGCACTGCAGGCCAGTGCGACTGCGGATCAGGGAGCCTAGGGAAGAGGCCGAGTCCTTTCGGAGCTGCTACGACCCACGCGCATTAAAAACTGCATCCTGGCGGGTGCAAGGCTGAGATCACCAAAGCTCAGCCACGGTCCTGGGTCTCTACAAGCCCCTAAACTGGAGGCAATGCTCCAAGGCTGCTTCCTTGGTTGCCGGAGGGCTCTGAGGTCAGGATAGGATGCTTAGGGGTTTGGGACATGCAAGCTGCAGAGACACAGGGGCAGGATGCTGGTACAAAGAACCATGGGCACCATCTAGGAGGCTTCTTCCACACCAGTATTCCCACCTGAGCACCAGCTAAGCAAAAAGCCTCTGGAGAAAGAGGGGACTGGAAAGCCTTTAGAAAAATAACTAACCATGCATTGCATAATCTAACTCTCCCCCTGCCTGCATTCCCTTACGGCCTGCTGCCCTTTTGCTTGCAGGGTAAGTTACAAGACGGGGCTGCCTTCTTGTTCCAAGCTTGCACCACATCGGACAACACGGACTCCCAATGCTGGGCCAGGTATTTCATCTGTACAGAAAATGAATCCAGTGCCAGACTTGTTTGTTACTGTCCCCTGCACCCTCTCTGCCCTATGCCCTCTTTCCAGCAGCTTGACCCCAAGTAGCCGGGGGAGGCCCGAACATTTCAAAGCAAAGAGCGACCTGCTCTGCAAAGCCCAGGGCACACATGGGGCGGCTGCAGAACTTGCTGCGTCAACGTGGCCCATTCTACACGGATCTCAGAGTTCCTGGAAATATGGGGAAAGTAAACAAGGCTGAAAGCCCTTCCCACCACATGTGTGCGTGGAAATAGAAAGGGCAAAATCTGGTTTGCCCGGATTGCTCTGAAAATACAAGCGATGAAGAGGCTGCAATAGCCAGCAAGGTAGGGGTGGGCAGAAAAGGCCACCTCCGAAACTGCAGCAGGGTGAGGACCGGCCGTTCTGCATCCATCTTTTGGGAGAGCCCCTGTATTTGATCAGTCACCCCCGAAAACCAGATGCCAGAGGGGAAAAAAAAAAAAAAAAAAAAAGCAGAACAGCACCGTTTCGGCCTCATTCATAGTGTTTTCTCTGCAAAAACCACAGCGGATGCCGCGCCAGGGCCCGGGCAGGGTGCTGGCGGGGGGACAAGGCAGTGGGTCGGAGAGCTCAGAAGGCTCTTTCAGGCGGCGTCGCAGCCTTCGGGGCGCCTTGGCACAGCCACAGCCCTGCGTGTTTGCACAGGAGCTGCAGAGGGGAGAGCGCAAGGGAAAATAAAGGAAAAACAACAACAAAAAACACCCAGAGGCCCCAGTTGCTTTGCAAAAGCCTCTCCTCCCCACTGCCCCACTGCGGGGGAGCATCCCCGAAGCAACTCGAAGTGCTGGGTGGTCAAGTCGGTGCTGACTTTTCCCCCTCGCCAAGCACGGGATCGCAAGCATCGGCCCATTCTTCCCAAATCCCTGCAAAAGGAATCCTAAAACCCCAATTGCGCTAAATGCAAATACAGAGGTAAATAACAGGCTGAGAGAGCAAGCAGATCTCAAAGCAGTAATTAGAGATAATGGGGACAGGCACAGATTTTGGGGTCTAGCTCCAATGTTTTTTTTTCACAGCCCATTTGCTTCTTCATTGCATAAAGCTGGAAAGGGACCCCGGACTGTGCTCGCTCATGGCCTGGAAAAAACCCACTGTACTGGAAAACTGAAAAATCAAGCAAACACCTTGCTCTGCTTCCCCTCTGCACAGAGGGGAATGTTTTGGGCAACAAGTCCCAAGCCAGTTTAACTCATTGTGTCCCAGAGAGACTTCCACAGAGCAGAGACTGATGCTCTCCCTACTCATGCCTATAGGGGAAAGGACATTTTCCACATGCTGGGCTCCATGGCCCATGGAGACCCTCTTTCCCATCTAGCTGCAATGGGCAACGTGGAAAAAGAATAGAAAAGGAGCAAGTGGAAAGGCATTTTTGTTTGTCTTTGCAGATACGTAAAACACCTCTCGGCATCGTGCATCTTTTCTGGGGTACCAAACACCGCGTGCCCAGGGACATTCCCTTCTCCACTCATTCCCGAGGCTGTCTCAGCTCCTCCAAGATGCCTGTAGTGCCACAATAGCTTAAAGTGCAGACACAGCTCCAAACTAACTGCCTTTAACATCACAGCAAGCTGCCTGGGCTTGCAGCAATATATCCTCTGAATAAGCTCACCTCTTTGCTAAGGAGAGAAAATAATGGGCAGAGGGAACACCAGCATGGCAGGAGACCTGCTAGGGGCATCCCCCCACATTTCAGAGCTGTGTTCATCCACGGGCAAGGGTGATGCAAGGAGGAACTCACAGGCTCCAGGCAACGCATCGTGCCCTGCTCTCAACCCATCAACTTGGCTTTTCCGATTCCCTGCAGCTGACAGCAGCAGAAAGTCCTGGAGACTTTGTCTGGAAGCAGAGCACTCCCTTTGGGACTCATGGCCATCCCCACAGAAAAGGGACAGAGATCCATCGGCGCAGGAGGGAGGCCAAACGCCGTGCCTTACCGTCACCACGACGTACAAGCACCACAACACGGAGGTGAGGTGGAACGCAACCAGCTGCCCCGACTCGTTGAACTTGCTGTGCTTGACCTTGGAGAGATGGAGACGCCTGTTGATTTTCTGTGAGGAAGAAGAGGAGAAAAAAAAAGGAAAAAAAATAAAGAAAAAGAAAAATCACAAGCCACTGGATCAACAAATCTCCCTCCTCTTCTCCTTCCCAGTCAGCTCCCGGAGGTCATAGCTCCCATGTCTCCAACCCAACCTCAGAGACCACCCTCTGAGCTGCATTGAACTGCAGGAAACCACATGTCCCATGCCCTCCCCATAGGTTTAATACTTAGACACCAAGATGCTACTTAGACTCACATCGAGGGCATACTCCTGCACCACTGCGTGCAGGATGATGGCTATGAAGATGTAGAAGAGGATGGTGACCAGGTCCTTCAGCCCGTAGTGATAATGGACCAGCTCCCCGTCTGCAAAAGACACCAAAAGGACCGATCAAATCATTCTGACCCAAGTGATTCCCAGGCAGGGCTTAGTGCAAGATAAAAGTTATTCCCAATGCACAGTTTGGATGAGGCTACCTGGTTTTGGAGAGAGACAGAGTCCTCCTGCAGACAGGGGAATTTATCAGTGCTACAATCCCTCACCAACACAGGGATTAAGACACGGAGTAATACATTAAAGCAGTGCAGAAGCCAGCAACAGGCCTTGCTCACTCAAAACATCCCAGGCAGCAGCTTGGAGCTGTGAAATAAGACCCACAGGAGGCCCTGCCCTTCTGGAGAAACAGGCAGAGGCCAGACCCCCTTCAGCAACCAAAATAAGCAGAGATGTCTGTGCTTAGACGACTATTCCCAGCCCTGGCCTTTGGCAGCAATGTGTTAGTACATGAGGGGGTGCCGGGAAGAGCTCTCTGGGTGATGGCATGAACGGGAAGGGATGGCAGGAGGAGGCTGGGCCAGCCCTTGGGTAGCCAGCCTGAAGAGCTTGGAGGAAGGGGAGAAATCCCACCCAGATTTCCAAGGTGTTAGTTGATCGAGTATAAAATAGGTTTTATGACACTCGCCATTACGATGTGTGTTTTCTGGTCCTGAGGAGCCAGTTAGCGAGATGCTGTGCAGAAACAGAGGGGAAAAACCTGCCTGCATGGCAGCCTTTGCCTTTTAGCAAAGGGCTAAATCCCACTGGCACCTGACAGGGTACAAATCACCCTGGGGATTGCAAACAGGCAATTCCTTCTTGCCCAGAGAGGGAACACTGAGCCCCCTTGGGCACTAGGAAAGCTTTTCCTCCCAAACCCCGTGGCAGCACGAGGACCAGCAGCCACGGTCAGCATGAACTAAGCATCCCAAGCTCTGGTTCCCCCATGACACTTCTTATTTAAAGGGTGTTCGCTGGTAGTGGATGGGTCCCCAAGCCAGGGCACATCCCATGTGGTTTTCTCCACAGCAGCAGCACCTCTTACCTGCTGCAGGCACACTAACGTTGTACTGAGGTAAGATAAACAGGAAGGCAGTCTTGGCTGTAACCTGTGGAGGACACACATAGAGAAAGCAAATGCACGTGAGTTTTGAGGTCCTTCATGCTATTTGCAGCGATCCACCCTCCCCGTACAACCCATCCCACACTGCAGAACCAGCATCTTCCACTGCCAAAACCTCCGAGCTTTTATTCACGACCATCTTCTTAAACCATCTCAAAAATCCCTCCTTCTGAGCGAGCACAACGCGAGGGAGCAATAAGACGGGTCTGTTATTGAGCCCTCCACTTGCGGAGGTGGCAGGTGACGCTGTCCCCATCCATCCGGCACCGCGCGAACCCAGCG